TGTTTCTTCTAGAAATCTCTATTTTCTCCAGCATGACCGGAGAAAGTTGATCACAGAATCACACTGGAAGACCTAGAGATTCCTAGAGAGAACATTTCAATAAAATCAATAAATGTCAAAACTATAATCTGGATGGAGAACTGTAGATGTGATCTGGATAAGAGAAAACGTCTTAAGGTATTGAAAAAAAGGAGAGATGATTTTATTCTTGAAAATAGTCCCAGGCATTTGAGCCTGGAAATATTTTTATGGCTTTCTCCTAATCCTATGATATGTTGTAGAAATTTTATGATAAGGATGTCCTTGATGCATATTGAAAAAAACTAGAATAGCATCATGCTCAGCCTCTTAGTTTGTAAACTATCAGATATCAAGAATAAACTTTGGAGAGACTCTTTTTAGAATCCATGCAAGTTGGTTTTAAAGTGGTAATGCAGGTATTATTTTGTTCCCATACACTTTATTTTACTCAGTATGAATTTAAAAATTATGACAATTTATATGTAATTTGATGTAAGATACATGCACATATAATTGATTTGGTAAATTATATTATATTTAATATCCTGCCCTTTTCACCCGAGGGTAGCTCACAACAATGGCATGTCGTTCATCTTTTGTTATAATTACTGTTATCTAAGCATTGATTGCTTTTCTTTTAACAACAGCCCTGAAGAAAGCCATTAAAAGTATTTCCGGGCCAATAGGCAGTGGGACTTTATCAAGCATAAAATCATCTCTTTTTCTTTACATCCTAAGACACTGTATCTTTTCCATATTGCAATCTACACCAATGGAGTTGAGTGCAGGGTGGATTTCTCATCTTGCAGTGAGAAAGGTGAGCTCTATCCAACTCGGATCGCAAGCCACTGTTCCCTAGGCAAGTTTACAAATAAACAAATAAACTCCATCAGAAATGGCCAGTAGCTGAAATAAGACAGTAATATGAAATAATAAAACCCTCTTTATTGAAGAATAGATCTTCTTTAAAAACATCAATTCAACATTCCAGTTTTTCTGAGACTTAATATTAGCTGAAAATTTTCATAACTTTATTTTGTACAGGTCTGCTTTTCAACTTGCCAATTATATTCCCAAGCATCTAGCTGTTTTCTTGTTCACTTAGAAACACTTAAAAACAGGTTCTCCTGTTTTTCCCCTTTCATTTACATGTTGCTTCCAGTTACTTATACTTTGCATTTGTTTACCTTCAACTAGTAATCCTTCCAGATTCAGTAAATGGTAATTTCACGAATTTTGCTGGCTATAATGGGTCAGTTAAGGTGATGACTAGAGCCTAACTCAAGAATTTAAAATCTGTGTTACTGGGACTGTGAAGGAATCAGTAGTACAGTGTTCGCCTTCCCTCCAATTTAAGAACTCACAAATGAACAATTATTTAATGATATGTGTTGTAAGTCATTCATTTGTTGTATATGGTGTAGACAAATTGGGTTATATGTTTTAATTGGCTTTGATGTTCTAGTTGAATATGTATTATATGTATTTCTGTTTTTTAAACCTTTGTACACTGCTTTGAATCCCACCCATGAGAGAAAAGCAGGATAAAAATTAACAAATAATAATGATAATAATAATAATAATGATAATGATATCTGGGTATAGACGCCAGATATACAGATAGTAGGCTCCAAGTGTCTAGGTAAAGTCATTAAGTCTAGTCGTGTCCAACTATGTGTAGTAGTGCTCCTCTCCATTCCAATTCAAAGAGCCGGCATTGTCTGTAAACACCTCCAAGGTCATGTGGCCAGCATGACTGCATGGACTGCCGTTACCTTCCCGCAGAAGCGGTACCTATTGATCTACTCACATTTGCATGTTTTCTAACTGCTAAGTCAGCAGAAGCTGGGGTTAACAGTGGGAGCTCACCCCACTCCCTGGATCTGAACTACCTACCTTTCGGTCAGCAAGTTCAGTAGCTCAGCAGTTTAACCTGCTGCACCACCAGGGCCCCCAAGTGTTTACTATTGTCAAAAGACATTGCATAGGGATCCTCTTGCTTTACACAACAGATATCTTGCAAAAAGAAAAAGAAATGGATGAATTGGGAATAAAACATATGAAGATTACAAGTCTGCTCCCCTCACCTTGTTTTTTATGAATGAAACGGGGCAATTACTCCACAAGCTTTCCATCTAAAAGAATAGTAAGTACATTTTTTTTTTGCTTTTATGCCTTTTATTACAAACTCTGTTGCTAATGGTTCCAGGCTCAATACATTGTTGTTTTAATGCACTGTCGTTTTAAAAAGTCAATAAAATTTGCAACTGGGGCAGAGAGGAAGAACAGTCTATGATTTTATGTTAGGAGTGAGACAGAAGATAGTCTTCATTACTAATTCTTCTGTCCACTGGATAAGGAAATATTAAAGCCAACTTGCTTTCTCTCAAAACAAACAACAAAGATTTTACAATATGACCAGATGAGACATCATAATACTGCATATGGCTTTTAAAATATTTATTTTTTATTTTATTGATGGTTCATGTGTTATATATGTGTTTAATTGCTGTTGATTTTACACTATATTTCATAGTTTGGAGGCCACTTTGCATCTCTTTTTTGGGAGAAAAGCAGGATATAAATAAATATTTATTATTATTATTATTATTATTATTATTATTATTATTCACATCTGCTAGAAGATAGAATGAAAAATAATAACTTTGGCAATTATTTTGCTTGTTATTATAATGGCACAATTGGAATGGTGTTTACTCAATGGAACTCAATTGGTAATTAGAAATGTTTCACATAATTATTCTAATTTCTTGTGGTTACTTTCTATTTTGAATCATTATGCATATATCTTGCTGGAAGATATGTTAAGAAAAATATACGTTTAAGCGCACTGAAAATAATTGCATGTATATTTGTTTTTGTGTAACATAATACTACTACTACTAATAATAATAATAATAACTTTATTTATATTCTGCTCTATCTCCCCAAAGGGACTCAGGGCGGATTCCAAACAAAAAAGACAAACATTCAATGCCCAAATACAACAACAATACATCCACACTAACAAAATTTATACAACCCAACATATAAATACAAATTATAACTTAACAAACTAAAATTAAATAAAAAGCACAGCCTGTTATAACAGACATAGGACAAAACATCAAACATCAAATGGAAACATTTCCGACTTATGGCAACCTCAAGGTAAACTTATCACAGAGTTTTCCTTGAAAGATTTGTTCAGAGTGTTTGTTTTTGCTTTCCTCTGAAGCTTGTGTGTATGCAACTCATATAGTGGATTTCCTCAGCTGAGCAAGATATAGAACCCTGGTCTCAGAGTCATACCCCAATGCTCAAACCACTGCATCATGCTGGCTCTCATAAGTATACTACAAGTATATTCATTTAATACCTTTTGTTGGTCTTTTAGCTTTAATCTGGACATTTGTACAACCAACAAATAATACAGACAAATGGAATCTGCAAAAATATTACAGCATGGAAAATACTTCTGCAATATTCCATTCTATTACTCCTGCCGTCCAGAAACTCAATGTTTTGTGGATACTGAACATGCTCTAGTTCCAGGGGGCTGGTTTTGTTTATCACTCCTCTGTGCCTAAATATCTTCACTTAAATATTTTCCACTTGTGAAAAACTTGGGCCATCCTGTTTTTCCCTGCTGATAATTCAAATCCACTCTCCATTGCATGGGTGCTAATGTTTGGGCTGCATAAGCAACAACAGTAATTTCAAAACTTTGGAAATAAGGGGCAGGATTAATTCATAATGTAAATTAAATGGAAGGAAACTATGCAATGATAAAATCTGATGTGGGAATTGAGATGCTGAGGTGGATGAAAGAGAGTGCTTTGTAACCTTATCTGAAATACTTGGGACCAGACTTTTTCGGAACAATACTAGAACAACATTTCCCAAACTTTGATCTTCAAGGTGTTTCAGAATCATAGAATGGGAAGAGACAACATGGGCCATCTACTCCAACCCCCTGCCATGTAGGAAAAGCACAATCAAAGCAACCCCAACAGATGGCCATCCAGCCTCCATTTAAAAACCTCCAGGGAAGGAGTTTCCCCCACAGTCTGAGGAAGATAGTTCCACTGTTAAACAGCTCTCACTGTCAGAACGTTCTTTCCAATGTTCAGGTAAAATCTCCTTTCCTGTAATTTGAACCCATTTTTGTGTAATTCAGCTCTCCACGCTCTAGCTGATTTGGTCTATAGTCATAAATTCTGAGAGCTTAAGACAAACACATCTGGACGACCGAGAGAAATAAGGTTGAACACTGTAAAAACCATCCACTACATGGCTACCAACCTCCTCCCAGTAGACTCAAATCAAGGAAAATCTTTATGAGAACTACCACTCCTCTTGGCGTCCCTCCAGCAACAGCAAGAGTATCACTCTGGGCAGCTAAACCACAAGGGTCTTCCTCCAAGGGCAAGCCAATAATGGGCAACTTGGAAGTCCCTGAATAGACTCAGAAGCAGAGTGGGCAGATCGAAAGACAACCTGGCAAAATGGCACTACCTAAATGAATCCCATACCTTGTGTGACTGTGGAGCAGAACAGACAACTCTGCATCTGTATGGTTGCCCATTGTGCCCTGCCTCATGTACAGAGGAGGAACTGTTGAAGGTTACAGACAATGCCGTTGCTGTTGCCCATTTTTGGTCAAAAGATATTTAGCCGTCTGCACACCTTCTATTTTTATCAGTTTTATACTAATTTATGTAATGCTTCTGATACGATATATATATGTATGTATGTATGTATGTATGTATATGTATGTATGTGTATATGTATACATATACATACATACATACATACATACATACATACATACATACATATATCTGGAGGACCAAACTTTTGGAAGCATTGACCTAGAGCATGCTGTTCTCTTCCTTACCACATTCCAAACATTTCATAAACCATAAGCTACAAGGGCTACCATACAAGTATTGCTCCCCAAATTTCCCACCTTTTACCTTCATTCTTTCTGTTGTTGAGCTGGTTGAACTGCTCTGTAAACTCTGCCAGTGATTCCTCAATTGTCTCTGTCCGAGGAACCGAAAGGGAAAAACGCCGCTTGAAAGTTTTCATTTTGTTCATTGTATTCCGTACAGGAAGATGTCAGGTAAATCTGGTAGAGAAGCAAAAGAAAATGATTTTACTCATAAAGAATTCATGTAGTTTTGAGCATAGCCTTACTACACATCTGGTGAGAAGAATATACTGTTTCTTGGAGTGAGTTCAACTGAGATGGTACCAATTCCATGCTTTTATAAACAAAACTGACTTGATTATTATTTGAGATGGAAAAATATTCAAAAATATTTGAAGAATGGCTGAAAACTATGTTGTCAACTGTTGTGAAACTCTGATAAGCAGACCCTGAAATGAACAGAATCATTGTAGGTCAGAGATGTGAAAAATTAACTGTTTTGAACAGAAAATACATTTTGGGTATAGAAAAGAGTATTTAAGCCCAGAAACACTAATGTTTGTACAGAAAATATTGGGCAGTTTTCAAATACTTTTTTTGAAGCAGAAAATTGCTAAAGTTGTTCATTTGAGAATTAATTTAACAAGCAATTACACCCGATTGTTACAGAATTGCCACGATGAGCTGATGCTGAGATTGAGTAGGATTAGTCATATTCTTAAACATGGAGCAAGTAGATTTCATAGTTTATTATCAGAAAACAGTTGAACAGATTATTCTGACACTCAACAGAACACAAGAGATTGGTTTAACTGTAGTTGTGCCTATTTTGAAGAAGAAAGAATAGAAAATGGCTTTATTAAAAGGAATATAAAATTCAGTGGTTTGACAGACATCATCTACATAAGAATCCCAAACTTAATTCAAAGAGATGACAACCGATAAAATACCCCAAATAAAATTACATAATGGTAATTTTTGAACGAAAAAAAAAACACCCATCCACTTCTACAACAAGGAAACCATTTTGTTTATACAAATGATACTTCTCTGAAATGATTGCTTCCTGATTTGAAGGACCTGGCTGTAAACACTCTTGAGTTCTTACAGATTCAATATGAGCTCAGCTCCAAATGTTCAATGGTTTCATAAACATAGCAGAATAAAGTATGGTTTTATTGAAATATCCCTCATTGTGCCATTTGGACAACGGTACCATGTGATTTATAAACTAAAGATAAGGTGTGGAAATTTAAAGTAAACTGAGTTTAGCCATCAACCATAGAGACAGAATGTTTTTCATGATGATGACAGTTTTATCCATTTTACCCACCTTTCCCCCAATACTGGGACTCAATATACCTTACATAAATATTTAAAGCACAATGAATTAAAATAATCACTAAAGATAAAGCTTTTTTTAAAAAAAAGCTAAACTATCTATAGAATTTAAACCATTAAAATGCATTAAAAACAATATAGCAAATCAGCCTTAAAGCCAATTTCAGTCACTTCCTGAAAATCCATTGAAATCAGCTCTCCCATGCCAGTGGGCAGAAAGTAAGGATTGGTGCATTTTGGTCTCCCTGGGGGGGGGGGGGGGGGGGGGGGGGGGCGGCTAGGTCTGGAACCAGTTACTGAGAAGATCTACCACCCTACCCTAGAACCCTATTTTCTCTATTCAAAAAAGAGCCATTGCTTTTATACATCACAAAACTGTCCCAAGCAGCAACCATGTTATTTGGGACCAGATTTGTGCAGTTGCATGCTTCAAATGTTCTATTTAAATGTTGAGGAAACAGTGAAGTAAACACATTAGAAGCGTGCTAGCCTTGCTTCCCTTCCTTACACGTTTCCACCCCTCTCTTTATGTGGCAGGCAGTTTTCAAAATAGGAGAGAGTCCTCTATATGTAGAGAGAATCCATACAATCTAATGTTCTGAGCTGCACAAAGCAGCTCCATGGATATAGGCTGCTCTCTTCTCCAGAAAGCCAAATTCCAGGTGAGGAGTGATGACAGGAGGTGAGCAAGGCTAAGAGCTCCCCTGCCCCAGATCAGATTTACTCAGTCTGGTTCTTGAATACCATGATGGAAGAATTAAGAGTTAAACATTACGAATTTCTGAGCTCATCTTTCCTTTCAGGTTGCCCACATTGTAATCAGGCCACTTTTGTTGGTCTTTACCTGAGGAGTGATTCATTCTAAAAACAGTAACAGATGGTTATTGTCTGCAGCTTTCAACAGCTTGCTTGGTGTTACTTTTCTGGGCTAAATTTTAACCTAAAATAAACAGCAACTTATTTACGGTGTTTGGGGGTAGCTACCTGGCAGAGCAAGGATTCTCCTTGGAACAGGAGCCTTCTCCAAAAGAGGGGCATTTTGAAAATGCTCACATTTTAATATGACCTATATGGCTTGGCTTTATAAAAAATGCTCAAACGGGAATCAGAAACTGGTCTAGGGAATTGCTTCTTAAAACTGTGGATCCTCCACCCAAATATGCTTCCCTTAGCTCAATGCTGCCCCCCCCCCAGTCCAAAAAATATTGACAACAGTACATGTTTTCTAAGCACCACCTAGTAGCTACTTAGAATTTTACACATATCTGTTGTGCAGTGTTTACAGTGGATTCTGCAAAAGATGCTTCAGCTGTACTTCACAAAAAGGAAAATCCGCCTGTTTAGCAAGGCTTGGAAATGCTGATTTGTTATAAATAAATGTTTTGTTTTTATACCTATTTGATATAACTATATACCTAGGGTCATTTAAAAATGTCTCGGCTCAAAAGAGTCTTGAGTGGAAACATTTAATGACCCCATGTCTAGAGGATACATTCTCTTAGATCAGTGTTTCTCAAACTCTGCTCCTCCAGGTGTTTTGGACTTCAACTCCCAGAAACACCAGCCAGCTTACCAGCTGTTGGAAATTATGGGAGCTGAAGTCCAAAACATCTGGAGGAGCAGAGTTTGCGAATGACTGCCTTAGGAGTCAATGGTGAATGAGGCTGAATCCTGTGGTAGGTAGAGCCAGATCCAGAATCGAAAGGACTGAGGGTTACCTGTTTAGGACAATCTTTTCCCAACCCCATGCCACGTTCTCTCGTGTTTGGTTAAATGCTGTGGAGGATGACAAGTTGCACTTGGCGAAGACTTTGACATTTGAGCAAGAATGTATGAAATTTGGTTGACAGTTACAGATTTTTACTGGAGAGGCGTAAAATAAAATCACCTGGACAGATTCAGGCTTCCTTTAAGGGACAGGTGTAGAGATTTTGCAGCCTAGGGCTAAGGTGTATAATAGCCAATGCCTGCCAAGATATTTGATACTCGAGGCAAAACAATCTTGAAAGTGCCTCTCCCTGGCACTCAAAATACAGCAATAGTAGATAGATTAAATAACTGTTTGCAGGATGCATTTTCTTGACTCTTGAAAGCAGCTGCCCAAGGAAATTGCTTCACATTGCCTAGTAGTAGGAGTTAAATGGGATGCTGGATGGAAATGCAACCTCTCTGTGGAGATAGACTGTCAGAGTAAGACAATCAAAAACTGTACATCTTGTGCCTCTGTTAATTAACTTTGGTTCCACAAGAACATTTCAGCAGCTAATTAGCATTGGCATCCAGACTGACTGGAATCTGTATCCAGACACATTTATGCCATATATGTGCTACAGTAATAATCATAATGAAGGCAGTACCACTTGGCAGTAAACTGACAATAATAAAAGGCAATTATACAAAGAAAACCCCAGAGGCTGGGACCTGAACTAGAAATAGGGTTGTCATTCAATCGCCACCATTTTTACAAAAGGGGAAAGCATAACAAAAAATTAACAAACAAGGAGATGTATTTGCACAAAATTTACATATGCCTTGCTGAGGCAAATTAAAAACTAATTTATGTCACTGAAATAGAAATATCATGCATTTCAATTGGGTGGGGAAGACTGTGGGTCAACTCTGTAGAATTAATGTCGTTTGTCTCCACTTTAACTGCCATGGCTCAATGCTATGTAATCCTGCGTTTGTAGTTTGATGAGGCACCAGCACTGTTTGGCATAAATGTGAAAGACCTTGGAAAATTACAACCCCCAGGATTCCATAGAGCATTAAGCCATGGCAGTTAAAGTGACTACAAACCACATTAATTCTACGGTGTAGATGCATCCTGTGACCCAGTGAACTATATCTGCTGTCCAGGCATTGTTCTCAGGTAACTTTGAAGCTGCTATTCTTATTTCCTATTGTTTTCCCCAACCCACAAAGGACGAGACCAGATCCTGACAGCCCTATAAAGAGAGAACTTAGATATCCTAAGCACAAGTCTTGGAATAATGTTTCTAATTTTGGGGCATATTACTAAACAATTATAATGATCTTATTATTTTTGTTAGTTACCCAGAATAATATGATGAGAAGCAGAGTCCTAAGGAAATCAAACAAGCAACGAAGATGCTTTCAACTAGTACCATACTAATTGGGAATTTATATTAGGGTTGCATCACAGAGAAGACATTCCTAGGAACAGTAAATGAAGGCGCATTGGAAGAGTTGTCATGGGAACTGAACGCATAGAAACTGACCCTAGTCATAACCTCAATGGTGTCGAGAACCCAGTGTGAGATTTGTTGTCAAACTAATGCAGATAGCATTTACAGTGATACAAAATGCAGTATATGTTTAAAGTTTTCCAACTCCCGTAACAGATAATTTTAAGTGTCTAAAAACAAATAATTGGGGGATTAAAGAGGAAAGTCAAGATATCCTAATGTTTTCAGGACACATGAATGTTATTTAAAAATAAATAATACAAGATATATAGAATGTATATCACAGGTTAGAAAAGATGCAACTGATGTATCTACACTGTAGAATTAATGCACTTTGACACCCCTTTGACTGTCATGGCTCAATGGAATGGAAGGATGACAACTGTAGTTTTACAAGTCTTTTCTACCAAAAAGTGCTGGTGCCTTATCAAACTGCAAATCCCAGAATTCTACACCATTGAGCCATGGCAGTTAAAGTGATGTCAATCTGAATTGGTTCTACAGTGTAGATGCACTCCATGTCTGATCATGGTTAATGAGCTGAGTCAAAGAATATAAAATAAAATAAACACACAGCCATCTCTTTGAAAATGGATACATTGCCCAAATGAGGACAAGTTCTGGTGAAAGAATTTTTGACAATATGGA